ATAATAATAATAATAATAATAATAATAATAATAAAAATAAAAATAAAAATAAAAATAAAAATAAAAATAACTACTACAACAATAACCATTTATCACTATATTTATTTACTACCCTTTCATGCAGTACTCTTATTAAGGCACACAAATATTCTAATTTAAAGAAACAACACTTAATTCAAATTAGAAATTACAGACATCTAAAACCACCTTTACAAGTGGCTAAGAAAAGAGAAAAGGGGAGGGGGGTTACTAATAAAAAGCAGGTGAAACAGACAAGCCCCGAAAGTCCATTGAATATCAGTCGTCCTCTTGAGGGTTCGGACACCAGTCAGGAAAAAAAGGCTCTCCTCCTTATTTCCTGCGAGAGCTAGGTGCCCTTCCTCTTCTTCCTCCTCCTCCTCGGTTCATCTCGGATCTGCCCCTCCCCAAGCTGGAGACGTTTAGGAGCCGGGCTTTTCATTCCCCCAGCCGGCAAGCCAGGGGTGGGGTGGGGTGGGGTGAAATAGGGACCTCCGGCGTGAGGCTGCCAGCAGAGGGAGCCGAGAAGTGGCAGGGCAGGTGAGTAGAGGAATTGTCTAGCACGCTTGGACTCAGAGGGACTTTCATGCGGATGTTCTAGGATGTTCTAGCCTTTACAAATCAGAGGGCAGGTCTTCTGGGACCGCCTTTTCCTGGAAGTCGCCATGCAGCTGTTCTAGCCTTCTGACATCAGAGGGCAGGTCCTCCGGACCCGCCTCTTCCTGGCATGTTGCCATGGCGACGCCAGGTTGCTACAAGCCAGTCCGTTCGCCTTTTCTTCCCCACCCGTGTCTCCCCATTTTTTGCCCCACCTGCCCCTGCGGCTCCCAGAGGCTGTTCCAGGTGCCCGCCACTGGGAGACCCTGGCCTGCACTGGACGCTGCGCTGGCTGGACAGGGGACGGCAGCTAGGTAAGGAGGCCCGTGGGTGAGGGTGGGGTGAGTGCTGGGCCCCTTCTCCCCCACCACACCATGGGCTTTGTAATCCTTTAGGACAAGAATCTGACCCAAGGTGGGAAAGGCAGTGCTCGGGATTTTTCAAGTCTCTGGCCATGTGCAGAATTATAGTTTGTATCCTCCCCATGAGGCTAGCCCTTAAGGAAAGAATTAAAGGGGGTCTGGGTCGATTTCCCTCCCTCCGCCTCCAAACCACATAGGAAATGCAGGGCGGGACTCGGCCTTGTACTCGTCTCCCTCACTTTTCACTGCATTGAAATATTTGAAGTGTTTCATGGTTGTTTCTTTTATTTATTTTTTATATGTGTAAGTATGCACGCATGTATTTATTGATGCATGTGTGTGTGTGTGTGTGTGTGTGTATTTATTTATTTATTTATTTATTTATTTATTTATTTATTTATTTATTTATTTATTTATTTATTTATTTATTTATTTATGCTATTTGATTTATCTGTCGCCCATTTGACAGCCCAGGCCACTCTGGGCTGTTTGTTTGCCTTGTGATTTTATCATTCCACCCTGGAGAGGAGAGGGAGCCGTCTTTTTTGTCCTAGCATCAAGGGGACCTCCTGCCCCTGCTTTTCTCCCCCTTTTCACAGCCACTTGTACTTGTCATTTGGAATAACTGGATTTTCCCTTCTGAACCAGGTGTCATTCTTTCAGTGAGAGTGTTCACGCGGATGAAGAGCTTCATCGTTCATTTGCGCCACCCTGCAACCCACAGAAGAGGAGTCCCGCCTGGTGGTTGTTGTTGTTTTTAAGAGTTATTGCAATTGCTTTTTAATGTTTTCTGTTTTTATTTCTGTTTTACGAGCTGTAGCCCACTGCGACTAGTCCTGTGACACTAACGGGAGTGGGATGCAAACTGAATAAATAAATAAATAAAATTAATCTGTTTCTTAATATTCTAGTAAAAAAAAAATCTAGACTGGCCCAAGAGAGGGAGAATGGAGCGACAAGGGAGGAAGCCAGATCCTTGTTGAACGCGCAAAGGGGATGCCAAAAATCCTGAAACGTATTATTCCACCACCACCCCCGCCTGCATTCTCTTTTGTGTGAGTGCGTGTGTTACTTTTTAGACTTCAGGAAAAGGCTTTGGGACCATGAGTTTCTGCTCTTATTTTAGCTACAGGATGTGGACAACGGTAAAGAAGATCCAGGCACAGATATCTGGTACCTTTCCAATTAAACAGTGTAATTGCCACCTCTTACAGCGTGGACAGTAGGGCAAAAAGCAATAATAAAAATGATAATAAGAAAAACATAATCACTGCAACAATAACAACCATTTATTACTATATTTATTTACTACCCTTTTATACAGTAACATTATTATGGCACACAAATATTATAATTTAAAGAACCGACACTTAGTTCAAATGAGAAATTACAGACACCTAAAACCACCTTTACAAGTGGCTGATAAAGGAGAAAAGGGGAGGGGGGGTTACTAATAAAAACAGGTAAAATAGGCAAGCCCTGAAAGTCCATTGAATAGCAGTTGTCCTCTTGAGGGTTGGGACACCAGTCAGGAAAAAAAGGCACAAGGAGGTTTCTTCCTCCATAGTCCCTGCGAGAGCAAGGCGTCCTTCCTCTTCCTCCTCCTCCTC